CCGGATCCTGGGGGCACTGCCTGAGGAAGGAAACTGGCAGCATTGAAAATCCCCTTTCTGTGGAGATGATAGAGCTTTTCAGAGTGCCAGTCTCTCTGCAGAGTGGGAGCAATTTCCCTGTAATTGGTAAAGTAACCGTAACTGCTCTGTCATTTGTATGTAGCGACACGTAATTGCACGGTAACCTTTGCCGCTGTGTGCGAGGGAAGCGTGGTAAGCTATTAGATTGTAATTCGGAGTGTCAGCTCTGGCTCCCCACACCACCTCACCAGGGCTGCTGCTGCTCAGCAGGCCATGGGGAGGCCTCCGTGGGGCCTCTTGGCCCCCAGATCCAGTTGGGGGTCCTGCTCGGTAGAGCCCTTTGCTAGCAAAGGACCATCAGGAGATGAAGGCCAGGTGTCTGGAACCCCGGCACCTCACCTGAAGGAGTGGAAAGACACAGGTGCCTTCCTCTGGCTTTCTGATGGAGTGAGTGGGTCCAGGATGGGGCCCCTCAGAGTTCTAATGCATAGTGCTCCATCTTCTGAATCTGAGATCTCAATTCTCTACTCCTCCATCTGGCCTGGTTGGCCCAATATCTACCCTATGCTGACAGATATTTAGGAAGAACCCCCTTTGCTATTTCACTTGACCACACTAGCCCCTTAATCTTGATAATGCCTCTGAGGTGGACACTGGATTTCCTCAGAGATACTGAGACTCACAAAGGCTAGCTGAGTCGTCGAAGGCAGACAAACCATAATAAAGGCTAACACTTCCCATAGCTCTTCCTAACTGGTGGCGCTCTTCCCTAGGTATTGAATTATTTAATCGTCACTACTGTATTATTATAAACCCCATTAACAGGTGGCAAACTAGAGAGAGGTTAAATGACTTTCCAAAGATCACACAGCATTAAGTAGCAGAGATGGAATTCAAACCTGGTTGCACACTGTTAGCCACTGTGAAAGCCAGACTTTTATTTATCCATCCATCCATCCATCCATCCAACCACCTGCCCCTCCATGGATTCATTCATCCATCCATCCATCCATACATCCATCTAACCACCCCCCATCCCCACACATACTCAACCATCCTTCCATTCATCCATCTACCCACCCACCCTCTATCCATCCATCTACCCCCCACCCACTCATCCATCCATTTAACATATGTATCTTAACCTATTATGAACCAGGCACTAAGCTAAAGGTACAAAAATATAAAACATGCTCCCTGTGCTTGATTTCCTAGTCCCTGGAGTGCATGGCCGCACATCTTAATTGACACCTCACACATTCCACGAAGGCTTTGGGGGCAGTGGAAAGAAGATGCAGTGTCCTTCAGATGGGGCAGAGTTGTAGTTCTAAGGCTTCTAGGTATGTTGATGGAGCTGCTCTAGTGGGTAGCACATGATTCTCATGGCCTGGGTGCTTATGTGCTTCCCTTGTTAGAATGAAGTTGCTCTTTAATAAATAAGCATCATCATGGTGGCCACAATGGGGTGACTGAAGGGGGATCACAGCCAAGTCTGGACCTAGTTCCTCTGGCTGTGGCTCTAATCTGGCTGTTAATGGGGCCCAGGGGGAGTCTCAGTCAGCAGCCGCCACCCTCCCCTGTTGCCCAGGGTGCTCAGGAATCCACACCAGCCTTCACCTGTTCTAGGCTGGATTTCCATTCAAAAACAGTGTGAAATCTCTTGCATCGAAGGGGTGGAAAGACACAGGTGCTGAAGAGCTTCCAGTCCACTGGGCCCTTCGCCTTTGCCCCCTCCAGGCCTCACAATGGTCCTGTCTTCCGCTTTAAAGTCAAGGAGAGTGAAGCTCAGAGAACAATAGGACCAAGTTGTCCAGATGAGAAGCAGCTGAGCTGCCCTGCAAACCTGACTCATAATTTTCTTCCCCTCCACTTCCATGTGCAATGTCCCTCCCCTAATGCCCCAGGAAACAGGCCTCCTCCCCACCACAGCTGGGGGACCACTGCATCCATGCTGACCTGAGCCATCTTGGTCAAAGGCCTTGGTCAAAACTCCATTACCTGGGCCCCCATTCACAAGGAGAAACTGAGCCACAGGGCACCATGTTGTAAGTCCCAGCACATCCTTTGCCTCGTTTGAGCCTAATGATAACCCTGGAGTAACTGCCGCAGTACAGGAGAGGAGACTGAGCCTCCGCCCCGATCCTACCCTTTCCTACCCCCTGATCCCACCCTCTGCCCCCTTTCCTACCCTTTCAGTAATTCTTCACTATGTCAAGATAAAAGGTTTGATCATCTGATCTTGTGAGCCTGATGTTGGGTAGTATACTGTAGTAAACAAGGCTAGAAAACATGTTTAATTGACATGTGTTTAGAGGAGAACAGTGTGGGTCTCTGAGGGGCTCACAGGGAGCCGCATGAGTGGAAGATGGGCGAGCTCTGGGCTCAGGCTGTGAGGTTGGCTGTCCTCACTTCCCTTTGATAAAAATTCCTCACCTGGACTCCTGGCTGCTGAGGTGCTGCAGAGAAAGGGACCCACAGGTTGCTGACCTTCTGCCTCTGAGTGAGCATGATTTGATGATGCAGTTGCTGAAGTGCATACTCTTTTTTTTTGATAGTTTACTGTTGATTTTTGCCCAATCAAAGGGAAAAATTGAGTTTGGCAAATCTGACCACACAGAAAGGTAATTCTGGGAACTGAGAAGCCAGAAGTCTCCCACTTTCAGGTTAATGAGGGTTATATGTGTGGCCAGGTGATGGGGGACACTAACCTTGCTCTACCCCTCAGTCTCCCCCTATGCAAAGAAGTCAATCATTCAGTCTCATCTCCTTGGAAAATGGGTTTAATGGACAAAGTACAAGGGTTGCTGATGGCAGAGGTCCCTGCAGCAGTGTAGCCCCGGAAAGTTAGGGGTGTGGATTCCTTGTGAGTCAGAACCAGCAGCATTCAAGGACCATGAGGATTCTTGTAGCTCCAGGCTTCCCTGAGAACGCCTGGCAGGTTGCCATGGTTACCTCCAGCAAGGCATGGGCATCGCTTCCCCTTCTCCTGAGTCTTTGCTTTCTTTCTTCTCTCCATCCCTTTTAACTTCTACTACCTGTCTGCTTCCTCATTTTATCTTCATGGGAAGAACAATAAAGGTCAACCTAGACCTGGAAAGTTCCCTCCTAAATTTGACTCCTGTGGCTCTTTGTAGAGGGAGAGCGGAGAGTTGAGTTTGGTCTGGGCTGTGGACCAGATGATGTAGGAGAGACCAGAAGTAATCAAAGGCATGAAGCAGACATCTGCTCTGCACATGGCTGCCGGAGCCTGCCCACACTCTCCCCCTGTCCATCCTGACTGCCTGGGAGGAAGAAGGGGAGAAAAAAGGGGAGAGGTCAGAGAGAGCTTTCAATGCTCAGCACATGGCCTTTCCCAGGTGGACGGTGGCTGCCAGCCCCCTCCGTGGAACAGAGCGGAGGAGCCCCAGGCCCTGGAGAGCTCAATTCGCCACTTTCACACAGCTGCGCTGGCAGGAGCCTGCCTGCTGTTCTCCAGATTCCTCTTGCTTTGGCCGGATTGAAGCCTTTAAAAAAGTGACACCTTGTATTTTATTTCACTCCTTTTTCTGAAAGATCCAAAGACATTTACGGGCATGAGCGCAATAGGCTTTATGGTGGCCCATCAAAAAGCAGGGATTGTTTCCTTCGTCTTTATAGAGCAGAAAATAAAAGCACAGGAAGACGGAGTAACTCTTCTGAGACCACACAGTGCTTCCAAGAAAGGGTGGAAAATCCAGTAAGTTCCTGGCGCCTGGGAGAGGCCTGAGCCAAACCAAGGCTGTTTGTGGAGAGTGCCGGAGGCTCCTTGCAAGTCACTGTGCAGCCTCTGCATCAGTGTTGCATGGGTACCCCTCGTTATATTGGGGATCTGGAGGCCTCATGGGAAAAAAGGGGGAGACTGAGCAGAAATGCTGTGGGGATCTGGCCAAGAAGCTCTCCCTGCTGGCTCCTGACCCCTGAGGTTGTGCTCCCTGGAGCCAAAGAGTTGGGTTGGTGTGTCCCATAGGATATTTCAGGAGTGTCTTTAAGGAAGGTCGACAGGTGTTATTGCTTAAAAGGGCCGGGCAAAGTGGCACACACCTGTAATCCCAGCAGCCCAGGAGGCTGAGGCAGGAGGATTGCAAGTTCAAAGCCAGCCTCAGCAACTTAGCAATACCCTAAGCAATTTGAGACCCTGTCTCAAAATCAAAAGGGATGGGGATGTGGCTCAGTGTTTAAGCACCCCTGGTACCAAATATATGTATTTGGTATGAAACATATAATAGGCCAGGATTGGGTAAACATGTATCTTCTTAAGACTTTCCATTATGAATGCCATAGATTGCATTAGGATGTTTCCAAAGAACCCTGCTAAGTGGAGCATCTTGGGGAACTTGTATTCCAAGTTGCCAGCACAACAAGGTCATGGTTGCCCCTCTTTGCTGTGTCCTAAGAGATGGGGATGCCCTAGGATTGGCTGGTGAGGGACTACCGTGGTTCCCTAAGACGGGAAGTTCCACGGACTTCCCTCTCCCGCTCCTCCTTTCCCCAGCTGATCACCTGCACAGGCCTCTGCTGTGACTGTTAGTTATGCATTCATGCGTCTAGTTCTTTATTTCCACTGGCACGTCTGCTCCACAGCAGGTGTGTACATGTGAAGATTGCTTCCCTCTTACACCTGGGCCCAGCTCTCCACGCCATGCTCATCAGATACTGGCCCAATGCTTCTCCATGTGCCAGTGATGACAGGCAATCAAAGCCACCTAGATGGTGCCTGGAAGGGTCCAAGGAGGGGCAGAGAGGTCACAGAGTCTGGTGAGAAGAGACCCTAGGGATTCTCTTTTGTCATGGTCCTGCAGCTGCCTCCGTAAGTGACTGCTGACAGGTCACCAAATTCCTCTACTGCTGAGCTTGTCCCTCTAAAAAGGGACAAGATCCAGGATTCTTCTGGCTCTAGAGTTCTCTGACTTCAGACAATGGCCCCGAAGCTCCTTTTTGATTCGTCTCTTTTTTCCTTTCAGCTCTTAACCATCGATGACAACTTCTGTGGCCTGGATATGAATGCTCCCCTGGGAGTGTCCGAGATGGTGCGTGGCATCCCGGTCTTCACGGAGGACAGGGACCGCATGACTTCCGTCATTGCCTACGTCTACAAGAATCACTCTCTAGCCTTCGTGGGCACCAAGAGTGGCAAGCTGAAGAAGGTAGGAATGAGGTGCTGCTGGTGGATGATTGTGGAGACAGGCTGCTCCCCTGGGATGATGTTATCTTGCGGTTTCTTACTCCTGTGCGCCCGACGGGCTGTAAGACTGGTCTGACGTAGGGAGGTAGGCTGCTGGAGGTCAGGATGATTGCCTTTCTTTCTTTCTTTTTTTTTATGCCTTTGTCCTTGGTTATTGTGAGAACCAGGCTGTTGTGAGTGTGTGGTGCACTCTTCCCTAGGAAAGGTTTGAGTGCGCACTTGCTCTGTCCTTCCAAACAGTGTACTCTGTTCAACTTGGGCTAGTGCCCTGCGGCAAGGGCTTTATTAGGTCTGGGTGGCTGGGGAAGTGGGCCGGGGGAGGAGGGGGCAGGGCAGGCCTGTTCCTCTTGCTCCAGCCCTTCTGGCTGGTGCATCCATCTGGAATCCATTTAGGGAACAGATGGAGGAACACGCAGACCTGTTAGAGTTGCTAATGGGGCTAAAAGCCAACTTGTGGGACAAGGAGATGTGGAGGCCAGGCAAGAATAGAAATTGCCTAAGGTGAGGTGGAAATATGGTCCAAGGACCTGGACTGTCCTCCTTGACCCGCAGAAGCTGGCTGGCTCTTGGGGTGTTGGATAATCTTGGCTCGTCAGCAGTGTTGGGAGAGCCTGTCCACCCAGGGATGCTCCTCGCTCAGGGTTTTCTATTTCACTGGATTGAAGCTGGCTCCACAGCATGTCTTCCTTGATGGGGTGAGAAATCTTTCTAAGATGAAATGCTGTTGACCGATAGTTGTACTTCAGTCCTTTCCTATGACCTTTTGGTGATGGACTTGCCTTAGAATTCTCTGGATGTTGTGTGATTCGGGCTAAGTAAAGAGGCACTGTGCGATGGAGACTGAACCTTGATCCCTACTTTTCTCTTTGCTGTATTTCTGGGCATTGGCTCTGGATGGTCCAGGGGAAATGTTCTGTGCCATATTCTAGAAGGTTATTTCTGATCTACCAGCCAACTATGCAACGACTCAGAAATCTTTCTTTCTGTTGAACTTGATACCTTTGTGGCACCATTTGTAGGTCTGGAATGTGACAGTGTAGAAGGCAAGACATGTGTGTGAGCGGGGATGTGCACGTGGAGCATGGAGTGGGAAACATCTGGAAAAGAAGGCAGTGTCCACTGCTGGAGGTTCACGGCACACTCTGTGAGGGTGACGAACAATGTCCTGCCTGTGTGGCACTGCCCAGGAGGACATAATGACCAGACTTTAGGGTGCTGTCATCTGTGTCAAAACCAAAAAACGATTTCCCCATTTGTCTACACATCTTCAAAAATCCCCTTTCATGGGTTCCTACCTTTTCTGAGAACACAGTAAGTACAACTGAACTTTGTCTTGCTCATGGCTCCTTGTGATGCCCACTCACGTATTGAACTGAGTTTCGTGGAGGCCTAGAGAAGATGCTGGAAGGCGTGGGGGTGATATCCCCACGCAGCTCCTGGGTGTGACTGTTGCCGCCTTCCTGGTCCTTCCTCCCATCACCTGCAGCTGCTGGGACATGCTGGCGACTCCAGTGCCTTGGTCCCTCAGTCTGCGGCTTCTGGCTGGCAGTGGGCGGGCAGTCAGCCGCCAGTCTTGCTGCATTTGTGTCCCCTGAGCCTCCGCGGGCACCGAGGGAAGGAGCACGAAAGCCACTGAGCGGGGAGGGCTCTGGTGGACACTTCCCTTGGTTGTTCAGGTGGCCGCTTTTGCTGTTATTTGATGGTTTCAGTTGGCTGCAAAAAGTGAACGCTGAATCCCAAAGGACCGCGTGTTGAAGGCCTGGTCCCCGGCGGTGGTACTTTGGAATGTGGTGCAACCTTGGGGAGTGGAGCCGATGGGAGGACCTGAGGTCTCTGGAGGCAAGTCTTCCTTAAAGGGGGTCGTGGGACCCTGGTGCCTGCCCTTTTCCTTTTGCTCCCTGGATCATGGTGTAAGCAGTTTTGCTCCACCACAAAACTGGTCACCATGTACTGCCACTCTGCAGGCCCCAAACAATGGGGCCAACAGAACTTAAACTGGCACTTCCCAAACCATGAGTCAGAAATAAATGGTTTATCCGTAAGTTATTTATCTCAGTGTTTTGTTATAGTGATGGAAAGCTGCTGACTGGTTCTCTTACCATCCCATCCAGCGTCCCTTGACCATCTTGCCTGCTCCCATGGGAATAAACACTACTGAGAATAAATAAATAGGCAACACTCTAGGGGGGTGCTTGGCCCTTCCCTGCAGTGAGCCCAGTCTCAGTGCAATGGAAAAAGTGACATCCTCCATTGACCTCAAAGTCCTATCTGCCAAATTTCCTATCGACAGCGAGAGGCTCATGCAACTCACTGGCAAGACAGAATGAAACCTGGATGAGGGTTTATTTATTGTCGTTGTCTGACCTGGCTGGAATACGGTGTCAGTGAAATGAACATAGAAAGTTCAGTGCACATAACAGGCAATCATTGAGGGGGAAAAAAACCAAAAACATATGTTTTCAAGTCATGGTTGCACTGTAAACCTGAGAGAGTCACCTTGCAAATGCATGCTGTTGGTCCAAGGGTGGATTGAGGCAGCTGGCAGCTGGCAATGTACCCTGTCCCTTCCCAGGGAGCTCATGCACAGCACCTCCCAGGAGTGGGGAGGAGGACAGCCCAGGAGTGTGGGTGAACACTTAGAAACAACCCTCAGAGACTGGCAGGGACAGGTGGCAGGAGCCAAGTCACCCCGGGCTGGCGTTTCCCATCTTTTCCCTTGGTGGGTTTACATAGTTCTCTTTCAGCCACTTGGGACATTATATTTAATTTCCAGAGCATTGGTGGGGCCGCTGAGGCATAAAATTTGAAAGCCAAGAGGAGAAGGGTCGTGTGGGGGGACCGAGCCATTGTTCCCCTGGGAAGAGGTGCCATCACGGGGCCACACTTTCTGCTCCGTGGGCTCAGACTGGCAGCCTCTTAATAGTTCTGCTCAAGCCCAGCCACTGCTTCTGCCAGCTCAGCACAGCTGGCCCAGGGGACAGTCGGAGTGGGAAAGGAAGGCTGGGCCACGGTGCCTGTTGTTTGAAATAATAAAAAGCAAAAGTGGCCTGTTTATTTATTTTTCCTAAACAATAAAATTTTCCACCGCCCCAGCTCTCTGGGTGCCACGCCCCTTTCCTTGTGATATCTGACTTGCTTTCCCCCTGAGCTGATCACGCCCATGGCCACCCTTTGGGCCGAGGCCCAGCCATGACAAACTTGGGGCTGCGGGAGGATTTTGTAGCAAGTTTTGTGAGCGACCGAGATCAGGGGGTGAGAATAATGGAAATCATACGGTAGCCGTAATTACAGAGTTGGCGTCCCTGAGCCCTGTAATAATCTCCTGTGTGCGTCGAGGGCCTTTCAGAGTTCTTTGCAGCATGACAAGGGACTCAAAGTGGGCAGGGTGGGCAGAAAGGAGGCTGGGGGTTTACTGAGAATAAGGAAGTTTGGCTCTGGGTTTTAGGGACCCAGGGGCTAGACTGTAGCTATCCATAGGCTGCCCTCAAAATTACTGACTTTTCATTGTGTTTGAAAGGTGTGAGTCCCAGTCATTTGCAACCTTGCCTTTGATGACCGTAATTTCACTCCTCAAGTGCACACATCACATGAGGCAAGGGGAAAGGAGGTGAGGAAAGTGCCAATTTGGATGTCTTTGATGTTTTCTGATGTGAGTGTGTGTGCTATAGACAGCATTGGCAGCCTTTTCCCACAATGAGCGTTAAAGGTGTGTGCTCTTAAGAAATACAGCACGGAAATGTTACACTCATTAGGAGGTACCTAGGAACTTAGAAATAATCCACAGACTGTTAAAATTTCAGCCACAGGTAAAAATCATAAGGGAAACACCATCTTGACTTGCCTTGGGGTGACCACACAAATCTGAAAGCCTTTGACCCAAGTTGGGGTAATCAGGTCAGTGGGCTCTCAGAAAGACAAGACTCCTTTGCTTAAATATTTCTGCAGAAATCCTCGCTGCATCTTGCTTCCTCTCGCTAAGTGATCGTATTTTATGGCGGCTGCTCAGCAGTGAATTACTGTCTGACGTTAGCGGGAGAGACTAACGTTCATTGTGAGCCAAAACATCATAAACTTCCACTTGAGGTGTGATTGCTTCTTTCGTTTTGTGATTGCGTCTTTCCCGGATGTTTTTGCTGGGCTGAACGGCTCGTGCTTACAGGGTGGAGCTCTGGATCTGGTTAGGCAGAGCTCTGGTGCTCTTGCTGTAAGCGTGCATGCTCCAGGCCAGACCAGCCTCTCTGGCTGAGAACTGCATGTGCGTCCACCTGCAGAGTCAATAGCAGCATAAAACACAAAAAATCAAATTTTATTGGCAATTGTCATGCAGATTAATTTAATTATCCTAATTTTTTACCCCTTGAATGTGTTTTAAAATCGATTTGCGTGTGTTCCCTAGGCTCTCTGAGTCTAGGAGGGAAATCAGCCAGAAGCAGAGTTGGTGGAGACAGACAGCTTGGAGCTGGTGTCCTTCTCCTCTGTGTGCGTGTTTTCAGTCCTTGAGTCTCAAAGCAATAGCAAACCAGAGGTTCCAGCCGCTGCTCTGCCAGTTTCTAGATACACCCAGGAATTCTTTGTAAAACTCCTCTGGAAATATGAATCCACTTTAAAAATAAATTCATGGCATGTAAAGCTCCATAGATGGGTGAAAAGATCAGGAAAGAAACGGAGGCCCCGTGTTAGATCTCCACATTGACTGGAAACCTGTGGGTTCGTATAGTTGGTCCACGTGTGGTCGGTCTGCTCTGCCGCATGAGGTGCTTCTCAAACCTGAGGGCTTCAAGTTTACACGTGGTCAGGCACGAGCAGAAAGGAACAGGAAGGAACAGACGGCCCTTGCGTCATTAGTCTGCCCATCCTGGGGATCTAAAACTGGCCCTTCAGGACAGTTTTGCCTTGTGCCAACCTGTCTGTTCCTCCTGTGCCTTCCTCTTGTCTCGTCCCAATCTCCTCTGCTGTGTTAGA